ATCACACTGAAGTCCAAGTAGTCAAAGCCAGAGCAGATAGCACAATGGAACCGAGTAACCATCCAATTGAGAATGATACAGAAGAATCGTGAGTCAATGTCCATGCTCAACAGGGCAACACCAACAGCATAACCCGATGTAGCTCTCTCTTATGAATGGCGCTAGGCGCCCAATCTACTCTATAGACTAAGCCTACAACTACAGCAATGAAAGCAATCAGACAACTTGACTACCAGCGAGTGATGATGTTAACACCAATGACGACCTCCACCTCCACCAGGTACGTGTCCTCTTTACCCACACTCTCCCTTGTTACCCACAYAGCGCCCTTCACCTCCGAAGAACCACCTTCGCCCTTCACCCCTCTTCGCACACAGGCAGCCCGGCTATGGCCGCCAGCGCCCTGCRCCCACAGGCAGCGCCCTACCGCCTAGCGCTGTCCTGCTTCCCTCAGCCTTAGCGCAGCGCAGCATGCATGCAACGCAGCAGCGTGCCGACCTTGCTCGCAATGGCCAAGATCCCTGGCCACTCGCCCTACTTGCCTATATGCCAGTGTTGCATGTGGGCGGCCTCCCTTCAGCCTGCATCTGGGTCCCAGTCGCTAAACCCAGACCCGATACAGTTGAGGCCCGGGGGATGCAGTTGCACCTCTTTCGTCAAGGCCTGCGGCCAGATTCAGATAGTGGGTCGATTTCCCTTTGGCATTTTCGGCCTCTATACCTAGCATGCATTGTCGGCCTCACGTTCAAGTGCCCAGGGCCTAACTAACTCACAGGCCCTGGGTTCTCAGCATTTGCTGAAATCCGAGACTCGGTGCACTCCAACCAACTGGCGTGCTGCAACTGTAAGGACCCCACTTCGTGAAATGTTTGTACAAAGGGCTCTTGTTGATTTGCTGGCCCGCCTTCACTTAGGGCGGGCACGAGGCTTGCTGGGGCCTTAGCCCAGAATATATACATCATGGCAAGGCCCCTTCTTGAGGGCTCAATCCTCACATTCCATTCCCCTTAGCTTCGGAAGTCTGCTGAGATGCTTACTTCGCAAGTGCCTTCCGTTTCAGCTTCTTCTCATATTCTGCTACCACCTGAGGAGCTGTGTCAATCAGTTCCTCTCTGGTGAACCACCGGTCTTCTCTGGGATCCGTATGATGCCTGAAGCTGACACAATACTCTCTCTTGGGTTTAGGAGGTCTTCCGCGACCCAGCGGCTTCGGAACAGGCATATCCCTGTGATCCACAATGTCGTCCATGTCCACTTGACCATCCATGGTTGGGGGCAGCATCGATCTCTTGGAAGGGAATTGGTCTGTCTCAGCGAAAGGTGCAAGCTTTGAGGCATGAAAGACTGGGTGAGTGCGTAGGTGTCCAGGGACACGATGAACATATGTGGGGTCATCCATCTCATCTCCCACTATATCTAGGACTTCCCAGGGACTAAAGTACTGAGGCATTAGTTTGCGAGAGATTCCGAATTCCTATCCTAACTCACTAGCCTTGACCCAGACACGTTCCCCTACCTGAAATGTGGGCTGTCTACGATGTTGATTCTTAGAACCAATCATTGCTTGCTGAGCTTTCTTCATGTGCTCGACAGCTTCTTGCAGAAACTTCTCATACTGCACACCATACTCAAGTGTGCCTGGAGTTGCAGCGGGTCGGTTTTCAGGTAGGAGGAAGTCTAGTGCTGATTTAGGGTTCCATCCCAAGTGTAGCTGATTTGGACTAACGCCGGTAGTGCTGTGGACAACATTGTTGTACAGGCTGGCGATGAGAGGCAACTGCTCATCCCAGTCATCCTGGTTGGGCTTGATGTAATGCCTCAGCAAGTGCTATACAACTCTGTTCATTTGCTCGACCTGTTCGTTTGCTTCGGGATGATTCCCTGAAGTCATTTGAAGTTGACTTCCCATCTGTTCTGCAGTCTTCGTCCACAACTCACTTGTGAATCAGACATCTCGGTCACTAACGATTGACTTTGGTAAACCAAAGTCACGCACCCAGTTGTCCTTGAACAACTTGATGACATAGTCAGTTCTTGCGGTCTCTGGCATGGCCACTAACATAGCGTACTTGGTGAATCGATCGATGATGACGGAAATGTGCCTCTTGTCGCTCTTACTAGTCACCAGGGTGTCCATGAAATCCATGGAAACACTCTGTCTTGGACCAGCAGGAATAGGCAAAGGCTTCAACAACCTAAGCGGTGCTTGAGTTCGCGGCTTGTCCCGCTGACAGACCTGACAGGTCTCTACGTACTTCTTTGCGTCATCTAACATTCCTGGCCACCAAAATCGTTGTACTAGGTTAGCACTCGTCTTCTTGTAGCCGAAGTGTCCCGTTGCGTCATGGCATTCTCCTAAGAACAAACTACACAAAGGTTCACTAGATGGAGCTACTAATCTTTTTATTCTGGCCTTATCAAGATAGAGGAGTCCGTCTACCATCACAAACTCGCTTTCCGTAGCCTTGTATTTTGCCTGAAGTTTGCGAATGATGTCCATCGTGACAGGGTCTTCCTGATAGGCTCCCACCAACGATTGAGTTACTTCAAAGTCAGAAACTAGCGCACCTAGGTAGTCTACTCTACGTGATAGCGCGTCAGCAACCTTGTTATACTCTCCCTTCAGATACTCAAGCTTGAAGTCATATTAGTTTATGACCTCAATCCATCGCTTGAGTCTTGATCCATTTGAGGGTCTGATGATCAGACCTCAAGTAGAAGAACCTTCCCAATAGGAAGTGTCTCCAATGGACAAGTGCTTTGTATAGATCATAGAGTTCCCTTTCGTAGGTGGACTTTGCCAACTTCTTCGATGACATCTTCTTGCTCATGTACTCAATCGGTCTCAACTTCTTCCCATCCTGCTGAGCCAGCACTGCGCCAATGTCATATTGGCTTGCGTCAGCGGTCACTATGAATGGCTTTTGAGGATCGGGAACCATGAGGACCTCATGATTCATGAGTGCATGCTCCAATCTCTTGAAAGCACCCTCGCACTCATCACTCCAGTCCCACGGTGTGTCAAGTCGAGTTAGATCAGTCAAAGGAGAGGCGACTGTAGAATAGTTCTTTACGAAGTTCCTATAGTAGCTGCACATTCCTAAGAATAATCTGACCTCAGTGACTGTTTGAGGTCATGGCCAGTCTCGAATACTAGCCACCTTCGCATCCTCCGGCCTAATTCCCTCCGCGGATACTTCATGACCCAAGTATAGTATCTTAGTGCGACCAAACTCACACTTCTCTAAGTTGACCTTATACTTGTGCTGTCGTAGTAGTGAGAGTACAGTCTCAACGTGTTGTGCGTGCTCCTCGGTAGACTTACTAAAGATCAGGATGTCGTCTAGGTAGACCACGACAAACTTATCTAAATGGTCATGGAAGATCCGATTCATAGCGTGCTGAAATGTTCCCAGCGCGTTACAAAGACCAAAAGGCATCATTACAAACTCATACAGACCGTAACGAGTCTGAAAAAATGTCTTGTGTTGGTCCTCAGGCCTTATAGCGATCTAATGATAGCCGGATTTCAAATCTATCTTGCTATAGTACTTGCATCCCTGCACCCTATCCAATAGGTCGTCTATGCGAGGTAGAGGCTCTGCGTTCTTCAGAGTGATGGCATTGAGGCCTCTATAGTCAATGCACATCCTCAAAGTACCCCCCTTCTTCAGTACGAATAGTACGGGTGATCCATAAGAGGGAGTACTAGGCCGAATCCATCCCTTCTCTGTCAGTTCCTTAAGCTGTTGCCGAAGTTCATCTAACTTGGCGGGAGCCATCCTATAGATCCTTCCCTTTGGGGTCTTACTCCCTGGAATGATTTCTATAGCGTGGACAATTTCCCTTTCAACAACTCCTGCGGGCTCCTCGAACAGATCAGGGAACTTAGCAACGACGCGTTCTATCTCTGGGGGTGTTTTAACGGTCTCCCCCTTCAGAGAGACATAAACAAGGTACATACCCTCCTCTTGGTTTTGCTTATAGTAATTGTAGAATGCTGATGCATACAAGCAGCCATAGGTATCTATAATACTACTGGCCTTGAACTTAGTCAATCTGACAGTTCGGCCATGGGGCAACTTATGCTTGAGCACCTTCTTATCCCAGTCGAACTGGGGCTTAGCAACTTCGAGGTAGTACATGCCTAACAACATGTTAAATGGTAAGTCGTCGCTAACCAAGAACGGGATCTTATGAGTAAGTTCTCCTCCTCCATAGGAGAAGGTACAGACTACGTCTCCAATGTAGTCTGTTACTATCATGCGCTCCTTGTTGGCCAAAGTAGATGCTACTACTAAGGTGCCGTACCCGGTCCTGTAGGTTCAGCCTTTCCAAACAATCGCGGCTTATGTAATTCCGTGTGGATCCGATGTCTATGAAGGCACCACATTTGCGGCCTCCTACATCCACTTCCACCACGAAATGTTCCCCTCTAGGATCTTTCTTCAGTGCCACCCAAGACTCGCGAGGGTCCTTGTTTGACCACTCACCTTCTAAGTCTTCTAAGGCCTCAGACACATCTAACGTACAGAGCATAGTTTGGTCTAGATGTGTCTGCGGGGTGGCTAAGGAGTCATTAGCTTTGGCCTTGTCATGAAGTGGGGAGGGTATCAAGCCCACGTCATCTTGAGTAGAAGCCGCTAAAACTTCCGCTGGCCTCACGTGTTTCCCGAGCTAGAAGCCTGGGAATAAGATGCCCCTATCCTTGGAGCTATCTTTTGCGTAACCTTTGCGTTCTGGCACTTGTACTGCGAGTGTCCGTATTCCCCGCAATTGATACGAGTGCCACGCACTCGGCGGTCACGCCACACGTCTTGATCAAGACCTGCCTTCACCCATTCAGCCACTTTGGACTGATTGGAGGCGGCCTTCCCTTGACTCTTAGGTTGGCCCTTCCCTCGGCCACCTGCCTTAGTCTTGACTACCGCGGCGAGGGTGCTACCCTTAGCTACCTCCTCGCCGTCAAACTCTGTATAGTCCATCAGGTCAGTGAGCTCATCGATCTCAGTTTGAGTCCCATCGGACTCCACCATCATCAACTTAGCCCCCTTCTTCTTCCACTCCTGAGGACTCTTCTTCTTCTTCGTGTCATTCTGAGTGGGTTGAGCATTGCCTAGTGTGGCCTCCAAATCTAAGGCTTTCCTAGACAATGTCTCAAATGAATGGTACTCGAGGCGTGCCTCGCTGGCCAGCAAGTTCCTGATGTTCTCAGGAAGACACTTAACAAAGGTTGTTAACAGGAACTGGTCACTATAGTTGATGTCAGGGACGAGGATCAGGCTCTCAATGGTAGTCGTAAGCTCTCTGACCGACTTGAACTTTCGTTGGTCCAGTTTGTTAATCGCATCAGTGACTCTTTGTGCCTCCTGTGGATTATGCCATCGAGCTTCTACCATTTCCATGAACTGATCTAGTGTTAATGACTTATCCCAGTCCGCCATGCGTCGTCCGTACCCTGCCTTCACAACTACACCATCTAGCCATTTGGCTGCCTTACCCTCGAGGTAAGATGCAACAGTTACCACTTCATCCTCAGGCAAGGTCATCTTTGCCTTCACCCAAACCGGGACCGTCCTCAACCATGTGTTGAGTTCTTCGTCCTTTCTCTCGCCTGAGAAGGCAAGAGGCGGTTTCATTGGGGTCTTAGGATACCATTGACCCTGGGGCTGTCCTGATTGCTGAACAGGTTGTTGCGGTGGTGTAGCTCCTACGGCTGGACCTGAAGAAGAAGATGCAACAGTCTGTGCGACTGCTGCAGACGTACCACTTGGTTGTGTACCAGCTTGAACTGGAAAGGGGCTTGACATCGCGGATAACGGCAACGGCTATTGTGCTGGTGGCCTGAATCCTGGCCTTGTCAAAACATCCAGGATCTGGCTTAGAGTGCTTTGCATGAAGTCTAATCTGCTGTCCACGTGCGCATGCAGCGACAACATATTCTTCTTCAGTTTTTTCATCTGGTCAGACAATGTTGACTCATCCAAGCCCTCTAACTGAGCTTTGTCAGCCTCTAAAGTATCAAGCCTAACTGCTCTATTTTTAATTTCTCTTTCTCTGTCGGTAGCTTTCTTCAGATCCCTCTCTAACTGTTAACGGATCCTTTCGACCTACTGGAGCTCCCTGAGCTCCCTTTCGCGAGCAGTCAACGGGCTTAACTGCGAGCCCGCCATTTGACTTGTAGACAGTCTAGAACCTAAAGAAATGGAAGTACCCGTGGACCCTGTGGGCATTCCCAACTGGGTCCCATTGGTCCTTGACAAGGCCGCAGAGGATGCTGCTGAGCTAGTCATGGCTGCAGCCCTAGCTGCTGCAGCAGCCTGTTCCCTAGCTGCGGCGTTTGCTGTTTCCCTAGCTGCTGCTAGTGCACGGGCTCTGCGTTCGGCACGAAGCCGTCTTTCTTCTCCCGGTTCTAAGGCCTGGAACACGTGCGGGATCCTAAGTGATCTAGCACGTGTAAGTTTAGCATCGTCAACTCTCTCCTCATCGACATCTGATCCGCTCATGAGTTAGGCAAACATTATCTGCACTAGAATCCCCTAGTGGAATCCTACCACAGCTTGTGTCTGACCGACACCTAATTTTCTAAAAATAGTTGTGTCCGGCAGGTGCCCTACTGTACCGATCAAGTGGCATGCCTACAACATTCACAACGGATTGTTTACATAGTCTAGATGTATTCTGATTGGTTCACTTACAGTAGTATTAGACAGAACTGGCTATGGTAGCATACAACAGTCCTAATCTAATTCTGTCTGTGAGGTGTTAGCAGTCTGTCCACCAACTAATCAAAATACAAAAAGACCATGTAGCAGATGTATGATGAGTGGGTATGGTTGTGTATTCAGTTGAGCATCAATTAGAACCTACCCTCCCCTCAATCCAACATATCGGTAAGCATCATTGAGCAAGCAGTTTCTTCATGTGTGTATCGGCCCACCCCTGTTCCCAAGTCCTTACCGAGCAAGCCAGCCCAACCACTCATTTTTACCCTCGTACGGTGACGAGCCTTCCTGTCCATGTGATCTGGCTGATCAGGAGGAATTTATAGAGCGCCCCCATCTCTTCAGCAATTCTTTAACGTCGCAGTCAGGACGACGATCACAGCCAGATTCACAATGAACTCCCCACCAGAAATGTTTATAGACGGTCTGGTAAGCATCTGTCATGGGCTGGCACACCCGGCATGACTTGTATTTAGCGCAGCAAGTGCCAAAATGGACAGCAGCCATCGCATGCGTGACCTACTCCCATTGGGTTGGCATGGTGACTGTGACCCAGTGCTTCGACYAGGGCCCTTCAGAGGCACCGCCCTTTCTCCTTCCWGATGCTTCCGGGAAGATTGTCGTCTCTCAAGGTAGCGCGCTCACGACACCTCACCAAAAGAGAGGACTCTCAAGTTGGACTCACTTCCTCACGATAAGAAGAGATTGAGAGAGTAGATAAGGTAAGGGAACAACGTACCTGGAGATAGCTGCCCCCAACCACAAATTTCTCACCAATTGAGCAAAGTGTGCATTTGATGACCGGTCTTGGCCTCGGTACCACCCACAACACAATGTAGTGCCACATCAGCATGCTCTCATCACCAATCATACATTCCGCTTGTCACCACGGCATATATTGTCGTCTTAGCCTTCCAGCGCACCCCTCTTTACCCAGGGCGTGCGCCTATATATGGCCTCACGTCACAAGTACCAACTGCGAAGAAGCATCGTCAACGCACCAAGTCTGTATAACGCCAGCGTGCCAGAGGTAAGTGGCGAATCATACCAGCTCTGGTACCAAATTGCAAGGAACATGAATATGGAGGAAGCACAGAAATCCAGAATGCAAAATCACACTGAAGTCCAAGTAGTCAAAGCCAGAGCAGATAGCACAATGGAACCGAGTAACCATCCAATTGAGAATGATACNATCACACTGAAGTCCAAGTAGTCAAAGCCAGAGCAGATAGCACAATGGAACCGAGTAACCATCCAATTGAGAATGATACAGAAGAATCGTGAGTCGATGTCCATGCCCAACAGGGCAACACCAACAGCATAATCCAATGTAACTCTCTCTTATGAATGGCGCCACGCGCCCTATCTACTCTACAGACTAAGCCTACAACTACAGCAATGAAAGCAACCAGATAACTTGACTACCAGCGAGTGATGATGTCAACACCAATGACGACCTCCACCTCCACCAGGTACGTGTCCTCTTCACCCACACTCTCCCTTGTTACCCACACAGCGCCCTTCACCTCCGAAGAACCACCTTCGCCCTTCACCCCTCTGCGAACACAGGCAGCCCGGCTATGGCCACCAGCACCCTGCGCCCACTGGCAGCGCCCTACCGCCTAGAGTTGTCCTGCTTCCCTCAGCCTTAGCGCAGCGCAGCATGCATGCAACGCAGCAGCGTGCCGACCTTGCTCACAATGGCCAAGATCCCTTCCCACTCGCCCTACTTGCCTATATGCCAGTGTTGCGTGTGGGCGGCCTCCCTTCAGCCTGCGTCTGGGTCACAGTCGCTGAACCCAGGCCCGATACAGTTGAGGCCCGGGGGATGCAGTTGCACCTCTTTCGTCAAGGCCTGCGGCCAGATTCAGATAGTGGGCCGATTTCCCTTTGGCATTTTCGGCCTCTATACCCAACATGCATTGTCGGGCTCATGTTCAAGTGCCCAGGGCCTAACTAACTCAGAGGCCCTGGGTTTTCAGCATTTGCTGAAATCCGAGACTCGGTGCAGTCCAACCAACTGGCGTGCTGCAACTGTAAGGACCCCACTTCGTGAAATGTTTGTACAGAGGGCTCTTGTTGATTTGCTGGCCCGCCTTCACATATGGCGGGCACGAGGCTTGGTGGGGCCTTAGCCCAAAACATGTACATCATGGCAAGGCCCCTTCTTGAGGGCTCAATCCTCACAATAAGCATTTTTCCATGGCTACGAATCACCGTCGAGGCGGTCTGGATTCAGTCCGGACTCCAAACGTCCGGTCTGGAATGTCTGGATCTGCCAAAATTCGAGGAAAAAAAAAAAAAAAAAGGGTCCAGGACCCTTCCCCATAGAGGAGCCAAGCCCCCAAAATTGTTTTGGGGGGTTTTCAGGCCCGTTTATGCTTTTTTGGGGGTCCGGACATGCTCTCTCTCTATAATAATTTATTAGACAACCCCAAAATTTTAATTATTAATAATTTATTACCTTTTATTAGTTTTTAAAGTCTTTTTTAAAGCTTTTTTATAGTTTTTGACTTATAGCTCAAGTTTGGTTCGGAATTCTGACATGATTCTGAGGCAAAAGTGGTTTGCATTGTTATTCTGCATAACAGACTTTTTTTCAGTTTTTTTTTTTTCTTTTTTTTTTTATGGTCCGGACATTTCCGGACGTGTGCAGACATGCAGACTGTCCGGCTCCCCCCATGTCCGGAGGTCCGAAAATGTCCGGAAACTACCGGACCCGGATCCGGTTCCATGTCCGGAAATGTCCGGGTTCGGCTCCTGCGTAGCCATGCATTTTTCTTTATTTTATTTTTTCTGTGTGTGTGTGTGTGTGTGTGCGTGTGTGTGTGTGTGTGTGTGTGGCTGTCTCTCTCTCTCTCTCTCTCTCTCTCTCTCTCTCTCTCTCTCTCTCTCTCTCTCTCTC